CTTGGCTGATCCAAAATTTTGTCTACTAACTCACTTACGGTAAGCCTTATATTGCTGAATCTTTTTGCCAACAGCTCCCATGCAGTTTCGTAATTATTTTCCGTTATCTGAAGATGTTGGATGACTCTGCTGGGCTCATCTCTGATGTACGTCTTCAAATACTGCATCTTTTCAATGTTGGAGAGCGATGTATTTTTGTGAATGACTTTGCTGAATAGATAGTGAAAAGTGCAAGCTGGATTTAGGATAATTGGTTTCTCCTGTTGATAGCCGGACGGTGACTGGATTTTTCCTTTCAGTTTTTCGACCACAACCGCGTATTTTACTTCAGTCTTCTCGTACATTTCGTCGGCAAAATATTTGTCTTCGAATTCCCTTTCATCGACGTAGATTTCTTCATGCAGTTCCATGAAGCTTCTCCACTGACCTTGGATTTTTTCGGGTAAAAGTTCATACCTGATCTAAATCGCTCTTTATCTTGGTCAGTTCGGTGGAGATTTTTTGCAATCCGAACAATTGTGTCGACGTCGGGCAACGTCTGAACTAATTCGAGGTATTTCTTCTCATCTTCGTGCAACGCTTTTAGCTGATCAAAATACTTCACTTCAAAATAATCGTGGGTAGTTCTGAGGGTGGGCCCCAGTATCTTCAATTCTTCATGATTTCGCTGAATCTCATTCCAAAATTCTTGGAGTTGCTCTGCTCTTTTGGATCGCCAATTCTGGGTTTTTCTTTTTGCGGGGTCTTTCCTCTCGTTGGTTAGGAGAGTTTGAATTTTTTTCCCCAAATCCTCTTGCTCTCTGGCTTTCTTGTTGAATTCTTCAATGACGAATTTTTTCTTGCACTCTTAATTTTGCGAAGGCGTGCTGGGGATAAAGGGCACCGGTAACCGAAAATTCTCTCGGAAGTGGTGCTTGTATAAGGACGGTACCACCGAACTCCAGTCTCACAGCCCGAAATTGTAGACTTGGAAATGGTACCGGATTAGGAGATGAACACCACGGAACTGCAGTCTCACGGCCCGAAAATTGTAGGCTTGGAAATGGTGCTATATTAAAAAAGGAGTGGTGCCACTGGACTGCAGTTTCACAGCTCGAGTTTGTAGACTTGGGAGGTGGCACCGAGTAAAAAGGAATAGACACCACCGAACCACAGTCTCACGGTCCGAAAATTGTAGACTTGGAAATGGTGCCTATGTTAAGGAAGGTGCCACTAAACTGCAGTCTCACAGCCCTAGTTTTTAGACTTGGAAGGTGGCACTTGGTTCAGTAATGGCTCGAAGGACCATGAACAGTTCTGAAGTAGAATTGTGGGAGTGAGTAAAAAGCCAATAAAGCTTAATATTGATTTTATTCAAAACAACCTAGCTTATTTATACAAATCTAACTATTTACAGCGTATGAGTGGTTCTAAACTAAAGGTAATGAGAGATATGAAATTGTATTGCGACCCAGTTTCTTGTATGTTCTTTTGTTTCATTACCGCTGCCTTCTTCTTAACGCTGACGATGGTGCTTGTGCGGTGGTCAGCATTTCGTAGTTCTGGTGCTTGCAATTCCATGTTTCAGCGTTCTACACTCCTGTCGTTGATCCTGACCTCCTTATTGGTGACGTAAAGAGGAAATTTAAATTTGAAGAAATTATTGTTTAAATTTTAAGATTTAAACACACATTGAGATTACTATGTGAGCCCTACATTCTTTGCAAAAACATTGCAGGTACACAGAGAAGTCAAGTATCTAGGCACTTATTTAGAATATCGGTTTTTCTTGAGGACTTGCCTGACAAACCAGACCAAGAATACTAAGGCAGCTTTTTGGGTACGTGAACATCCGTGGAAAAATCTTGGGGCTAAACACCCAAAATAATGCATTAGCTATACACCAGTCTGAAAAGTTCTACGGTACCGTTATTTGGTGAAAGTCGGTTTTCATGGTAACACTGACCGGGGTGTCTCCTCTTCACCTGCTGGCCCTGGAGCCTAGATACTAGATCCGGATTCCTAAGAATCAAGTAGCTCTGGTTTTTCGTTTCGGGAAACTACCCGTCGTTTCGCACCGACATTAAAACACTGTTATCCGAGCTTAGCGGGTGAAGTGAAGAGGTACCACAGAGACTTATGGCTATTAAGGACCGATTTTCCACAAGTCGGCAGATTGGAGACCATTGGTTCACGGAACAGGGTATACTACTTAATATGCGAACTCTCTAGGATCATGCATCAGGTCTTTTGGGCTCAATTCGTACCGTTCGCAGTTAGTCTTGCCTTTAACTCCTGCAGACCGGCCCCAAAAGTTGAAGTGGTGCAAAGCATACCAAAGGTGGAGGGAAGAATGGAACAAAGTCGTCTTCAGCGATGAATCGTGATTCTGTTGAGGGGATGTATGATGGCTGTAGGCGAATAAGAAGGCATCGTGATGAAAGATCTAATATTGAGTTTTCTGTTGAAAAACATGTCTACCGCACTATGAGAGTAATGATGGGGAGTGATTATCAGTGGCAACCGGTTAGCTCCAGTATTCATCCGAAGTAGCATGACAGCGGTTCGTTATATTGATGACACCCTACAACGCTATTTTGTACCGAATCTAGAAAGGCTCGGAAACAATCATGTTGTTTCAGCAAGATAACTCACGACCTTACATTGCACAGAGTCCCCAGATCTCCGGATTTAAATCACATCGAACTTATATGGGATATGATAGGAAGGAGACTAAAGGCATTACAAAATCCTTCACAAACCTTAAGTTAACTATAACAGCATTATTTTTTTTTCTTTTGTTTGTTGTTTCTTATGGTTGAAAATTAAATTGTACTGACTAACAAATAATAAGACTAATAAGTGATAATAAAACCAACTTCAAAAAATTATTTGTTGATGTTGTTTTTGTAATATCATATTTAACCATTTTAACACTATTAATAAACACGTGCCAAGCATTACTGCATTACTGGGCTTTATATTTTTAATGGTATTTATTAAATACTCATATTTACATAATACATCAAGTGCTTTTCCTTTATTAGTTGGATTTAATAAAATCCTTAGTTCATGTATAAGTAGTTACAGAAACCTACGTCATGTTCATAGGGGAATTTTTAACTTAACCTAGAACAGAGTTATCCACAATTCAATGAATTATGACATGCTCAACTGAGTAAAAGTTATGGTATTTTCCATTATAACCAAAATAATGTTTGTTTGAACCTGATACATTGCGACGAAATTCCTGTTAGACGGTCCGGTGACGGTCCGAAATCTCGCCGATAACGTATGGTGGGGGCGTACTTAGGTGCCAAGCTTTGGGTCGACTAGTATCGCTGATATCAGAAACACGTCTGGTCGACCAAGCTTATGCGGCGACCTTCACGCCGCCGGGGGTGGCGCCTCCGGTCAGGAGCGCCGGGGTGCTCTAAAGCCGGAGACACGGAATTCAGGTGGTGAGCGCCCGCGAAAACACGAGAATAATAAATAAAACGGCAAGGATATTTTATAACAATAAATAGGGTTTATTCCCTGCCACTAGCTACACGGTCTAAAATAATAATAATCTTACGGCTGGTATTAAATTAAATAATTACAAAACAAAAATAAACAAGAAAAGTAATAATACGTCCGGCACGGTTGTTCCTCTTGGGCGGCGACTTCCTTCAGGCCGGGCTCCTCCTGGACTTGGGGGCGGCGACCTTGAACCTGAAAATCGCGCGAAGACGGCACGGCGACCCGAGAGGAGAGCGCGGTGACGGTAACGACACGTGCACGACGGTTTCGACTTCTGACGGTCACAAAAAAAACCCGGTGACGGTGATACGGTTTTTCGCTCGGGGGCGGCGATTCAAAAACCGGTACTAAGACGGGCAGACAACCCAAAAGGTACTTACGGTGGTCGGAGGGTCGAACTGCACTCTTCTCTCTTCTCAAAATCGCAAAACAGTCACAGCACTTCCTGACACCCTGAAGCTTCAGGCAAGACTTCCTTTCCTTTCGCCGCGGCGGCGCGGCGATCGCGGTTTTACCCCCGGCTCGGGCGGTACGCGTCACGGTTTCCGGCCCGCGAAAATTCGCTTCGTTACAACATATGGGAATTAACTTGATTTTACACGAAATATACCTATAAATTAATATTAAGACTAAAGGTAAAAAACGTTTCTGCAATAAAGTGAAGGTAATAAACGTATCCATCACAAAATGAATCCTAATTCATCATCATTTAGGTGTATAAAACTTGTTGTTATATCATACTAGAAGATAGCGCGCCTAAAGTAATTACCTGTAACTCATATATTTTCCTCAAAACGTCATTCAAATTTATTTTTTTATTTTTTTTCATTTAATCAGATGTTGCTTTTAAGAAGACGACCTCCTTCTGCTGTTCTATTTATATTATGTTCAACTATTTTTGTTCACATTGAAGAACAAGCATAACTTCTTCAGAATTGACGAACTACTCTATGAACTTGAATACAGCAGGCTCAAAATTAACAATACTTGCAAATTCTACATTACCTTTTGCGCAAAATAAGAAAAAATATTAAATGAAAGGAAGGACTTCAGTACACAAAATTGGAAACCCATAATTAATTCTGACCAAAGAGAAAGATCTAAAATAATGTACTAAATGGATCAATCAAAGCACAACTTTTCCAAAATGTAAATATCACAATAATTTTCGTCTTTTGTTAAGTGAAAAAATATAAAAACAGACTTCGTAAAAACTTAAATATGCTAAAGATTCTAATTTAATGGAAAATAAATAATGTTATATACAGGTAAGAAAGAGAGAGTGAGAAAAAGAGAGAGAGGAAAAAAATACATTTTTATAGTATCTAGTTTTGGCAGATAACATGCGGAAATTTTTTAAATAATTGCAAAAGTTAATACACACTTTTGAAACAAATAAGCACTTGACGGGATGTTATCTCTAATTGTTGCTGATAAGCTTAAACCTGCTAATTTAATCTTGCCTCAACACGGTACTTAAATTCATTATAAACCTCATGTTAGATAAAATATTTAATGTGTTTGTTAATACAATTAGTTTACATAACAAAACAAAAACATTTTATATCAGATTCCGAACCACTGGAGTTCAATCAATACCAAACCTAAATCATACTTTCTCAGCATCCAACCACACGTCACCTTCGACAGCTGGAATAAACGCATGTACTTTGAGTTTAAGCGGTTGTATTGTCTTCTTATTCACAGTGAATTTATAATTCTTCAACAAGTAAGTGAGCCCAACCTTGGATTGCATCAAGCCAAATCGCATACCTACGAGTACTAAATCAAAACCTGTCAACTAAAAGCGACTCTAACATACCAATACAATTTCTCGGTCCTTCACCAAAGGGAAGATGTGCATAATTATGTCTTTTACTTTTATTCACGTCGTTGAATCTCTCCGGATCAAATTTCTCAGGGTTAGGATAATGATCTTTGTCGTAATGAATCCCAAGAATTGGTATCAGAATTTTAACACCTTTCTTTATGACGACGTCTTGATCGGGGACCTTATAATCTTTGACACACTTCCTGAACAACACTGGCACAGGGGGATACATTCTCAAGGTTTCGTTGATCACTGTGTCCATATACTTCATTTCTTGAATAGCGTCGTATGTAACTTTACCTCCATGCTTGGCTAAAACAGTATTGATTTCTTCGCGGAGTCTCTCCTGGATTTCGGGTTGTCGTGCCAGTTCATACATGGCAAACGTCATGGTTGTAGAAGAAGTTTCAAACCCAGCAACGAAGAAAACGAAGCTTTGGGCAGCGAGTTCTCTCATAGTCAAAGTAGTACCGTCTTGTTTCACACCTTCTTCAGCAACAAGTTTGTTGTTTTTGATATCGATGAGGAGCTGCATGAAGTCTTTGCGGACTATGTTGTTGCTTTCTCTATACTTGACAGTGTCTTCTACCACCTTCATGAAGAACTCGGTAACATCTGGTGGAGTTATACCGAAGCCCAAAAATTTTCCAACAGCAGGAAAGTTTGACGAAATCATCGACTTAATTATTCTAGATTTGGTAAAGTCGAAGAACTTGCGTCCGTTTTCTCTAAACGGGGCATTTTCTTCTTTGAAGCTGTTACATTCTAGGCCAAAGGCGCACGAGCCGATAATGTCTGTAGTAAGACATCCTAAGACCTCCTTAATGTCGATGGGATTTTTATTCACGCGATCTGATTCGATCTTGACTAGGAAACTAGGAACACATTCTAACAAAGTGTTGAACATCATTTTCATTTTCCCGGATGTGAAAGTCGGACTGAGTTTCATTCTCATGTTTCTCCATTTTTGGCCTTCTATGTTGAACAGATGCCCACTCAGAGGGTCGTCTTTTTCGTTGACGTACATCCCTCGGTCGACGAAATGTTGGAAATCTTTGGTGAGGATGTTGCGGACATAATCTAGATCTGTAACGAAGTATGTAGGAGTGAGCCACGTGAACAATCCTCCATGTTTCCATCCTTTCGCTTTCATTTCTTCATAGTGTTGTTTCGCCAAGAGACCGGCGCCGATTTTGCGTTTACTGAATGGTGGAATAGAGGTTCCGAAGGGAATTGTGGGTTCAAAGTATGGAACATTGTGTCGTTTCCAGAATTGGTACCTCCACTTGAAGTAGGCGATGGTAATGGTGACTAGAGCCACCACCACGCCCACTATGTTGCCAAGAATGGAATCGAAGAGCATTTCTAAGCATGGAAAAGTTATGAATACCGGAGTTAAATTTGTGTGTTTACTCACCAGCTGAGCACCTTACAGCACTAAGTCTACTTGACGACGGGTTACTGATAATACTTTTATATTGTTTTAAATTGCATTATCATTGTGCTGATTGTATCTGTTTTGTTTTGGATTCGTCATTAACGTAAAATAAATAAAAGTCAGCAAAAAATTTTCTGGGAATGTACGATTAAAGCAGAAGTTGGTTTGCGCACAATTGTTAGCATAATGGGAAGAAATGTCCATGAACAGAATGGACAAAAGCACGGGAAGTTACCTAGAAAAGAATATAAACCGAATTTTTGAAATATTGCTGTAGGACCAACAACAAGAATTTTATTACCTTTATCTGTGGGTTTGGTAATGTATAATTGACATCAGTTACATATGTACCTAGCATGAACAACATAATCGATTTTGTTCTTATCTTATCACTAAAAAAACAATTACTTTATTAAGAATTAAAAATTTTATGGAAAAATGTTAACAATCGTCAGTTGTAGTGTACCCTTTGGGATTTGGAACCAGCGTTGTGTTACTAAATAATAACGGAAAAATATAATAAAATAAAAAGTAGAAAACTCTTCGATTTATTTATATTTAGATAATAAAATTTATTTTATTCCATTGTTCGATATTTATACGGATTTCATATCCAGTTCATCTTGTTCAGTATATCTACAATTTTTTTTTTGTCAATAAAGGAGTCAAAATAAACGTCTTATCTTGGTAAACTCGTCTCTAAGATATTTTAATCTAATCTTTTTCTTACATTTGAATGTCTCGGAATGATAGATTAGTGAGTTAGAACGTTATTAAATACAAAATACAGTGCTTATTAATTTTATAGTCTCCGTTTTTGGAAAGTTCTTCTTCTTTGAGGTCACGTTTGTTTTTCTTTTCTTCTTTCTCCTTCTGCTTTCAAAAATAGTGCAAGAACTGCTGTTTCAGCTATTGTGAGGATTAAATCTTGGGGCTTATAAAACATTTTTCAAGTGTTCATTTTAAATATTCATTAAGTTAACTTCGACATCTTGGTAGAAGCGAACGTAGCGAAAAACGCATGTGCATACTTAATTCCATAATTGACAAGATGAATTATTGTTTACACTAATAGGTTTTATCCGATTTTTCGTTTGGGTTACAGTTTAGAAAAAACAACGAACACCGAAGCTTATTGCTCATACTGGAGAAATACATTCTAGGTTTGACGTCAATTACTCCAACTATAGGCCAGTGCCGAAGCCTTTGGAAATGGTAAAAAGTGAAAACAAATCAGAACAGAATGATATCCATTGGAAAAGGAAGAAAATATAACAAAAATAAAAGGAAAAATAGTGGAAGAGGGTGAGCTTTTAAGGGTAGAAAACGGTTTATCACGATTTCCGGCAAAACTACAAGTCCTCTCGCAAAAAGTTGAATGGCAAAGTTGTAGATAATAAAAAAATCTACAACTTTTATATTTACACATTTTTACCTAACCTCAAAATTTATGCGAAAAATGCAAATAACCGAGTTTTTGGTTTTGTATTTTTATCTCCCATTTTTTCTCATATTTTTTCATACTTTTCATATTTTTTCACGAAATTTGGTGAAAACTCCTATTTATGTTCTAAACTCACTGTAATTTTTTTATTCAAAATATTTATTTTTTCCTATTATTTTGATTTAATATCGAAAAACCACCCTAATTTTCAATTGAAAATTCTCACGTCAAAATATTTGCTTTTTTAAAAAAATCGGTAGGCTGAAATCTTTACTTTCTAATGGTGTAAAAATAATAATTATACATTACTATGGCAATTTTTCACAGGAAATTCAAAAAAACGAAAAAACTTGAATTAAAAAATTTGTTTTTTAATTATTATGTAAAATTTGGAAAAGAAACTTTTGGAATCTACAGTCACAAGGATATTCCTGTAAACAAGCAGAAGAAGATGCTGATGCTGACATAATTAAGACCTCGATAGAAACTGCCAGAGATACTAATAAAACTGTCATAGTTGTGGGTCAAGATAATGATCTCTTGGTCCTTTATAATCAATTGAATTCAACTACTTATGACATTGATTTTCTCAAACCAGGTTTTGGAAATGTTAAAGATCTATTTTTCACATCCAATAGTTTCAAATATGAATCCTTCAAAAATATCGTTGCATTTCTGCATTGTTTTTCTGGTTTCGATAAAACATCTGGGTTTGCCGGAAAAGGAAAGAAAAACATTGTAAATTCATTGTCTTCTATTGAATAAGTATATAAAATTCTCGTGTCACAGTGTGTGTAACCAAACTCCTCCGAAACGGCTTGACTGATTTTTATGAAATTTTATATCTATATTCGGTAGGTCTGAGAATAGGTCGTTTTTTATACCTCTGGGTGATAATTTTTTTTTAATTTTTTGACAACATTCTTTATTTTTATTTTTTTAGATTTGGCATCAAAAAATACATATAACCCTAAATTTTCACTTCTCTACCACCAACCCCCATTTTGTAGTAACGATATTATATCTTTACTTTCATCCACAGATGAGCAGTAGGGTTGCAAGATGGTTGTTGAATATAATCATTGTCGTACGATAAATTTTCATGTATAATTTATAATTTAATTGAATTATAATTTATTTATTTTAATTTATTTTTTATTTAACTACTAAAATATTCACTAGAAATAATTTATATGGCAAAACAACGTTTGCTGGGTCGGCTAGTTAGACGATAAAAATTTTTTCAAATTTGGCCAAAATTTTTTATAAAAAACATGCAAACAAAGAAAATATCACAAAAAATGGATTACAATTAATCAATCAGTAGGGAAAAGAATATAATAGTAACTATTATTAAAAGAAGATTCCCATTCGAAATTCGAAATAAACGAAATATTTAAATATCATAGATAGCGAGTATTATTTGGCATGTTTGGCATAACTGTCGTGGTGTGCTAGAACTTGAATAACCATCTATGCCATACCAACAGTATAAATGTTTATAAAATTAGACGTCGTTACGTGTTCAACTGGTGTAATCGTTGTATTCACTAGTTTCATTACACTGGCTAATTGTCGACTTGTCTAGAGGTCTGTAATTTGGAAAATTGCAACCTTGATCAATAATGTAAACGTGAAGTTGGCCACCTAATATGACAACTGTCCATAACTGTCAGAAAAAATGAGACAACCTGGAATGATTTTCAAACCCTGAATTGATTATTCTCGCTGTAATTGAGAATAAATTAGTGATACTAAAATAATTTAATAACTGAAATATTACAACAATATGAACAATAAGGAAAAACTTACTTCTTACTAAAATAATAATTGATGGTACAACTGTGCCACGTCATATTCATAGCAGCAGTCCCTGTATTTGCATTTGAATTAGAAAAACCGGCTGCAAATATCTACCGTGAAGTTATTAAATGTGACGAGCCGTCACTAAATTCGTTCACGAGAAAATCGTAACAAAAAGACGTATAACAAATCCCCAGAACATAACAACAAAATTCGAAAATTTGCAAATCTTAATTACTTAACACGCATACTATCTGCATATAGTACCATTCAAACAGATAATCAAACTCAACCACCAATCCCCGAACGTAGGAACAAAATTCGCATATTCGCAAATTGCAAATATCATTGCGCTTGTCAGACATTGCAAACATCAGGCACAGAACCGTACACCATAAAAATCGCTAATTCCAATTACTTTCATTCGAATTTGTGCCCAAACTAAAATAGCTGCCGACGAAACGCAGAGGTATAAAAAACATCAAAGAACGCCCCAGTTTCAAACAGATGCAACAGGATGACGAAAATGTGGCGATGACGATATGGGAACCATAACGCAAGTTAAAAAACCCGATGAATTATTACACAGTAGTTTCATAAAAACGTCAGAAACAAAACTATATTAAAATCCTATAAAACAGCGAAATAAGACCCAAGGTCGCATTCCGAGTAACACATAAATCACGAAGAAATATGGCTTACTAACGTCGCGGGAGACAAGATAAATGGGTAAAAATCCTTATAAAAGCAGTAGCGCTGAAGTGATTTTCATTCAAGTTCCGAGTTGCAGTCGAAGACTTTGTCCATTTCCGTACCGAGTTTTTTTTTGCTATTTTTGTTGAATTTTGAAGAAATCCGAACTTAGAAAAATTTGCTGAGACCGAGAAGAAGATAGAAAAATTTCGATGCTGCATCTGTGTAAGTCTACCTCCCAGTCATACTTAACTTATCTTGTTTTTTTTTCCATGATGTGTTCTAGAGTTCGGTCGTACATATGAACCGTTTAATTTATGTGTTTTAGTCGGGGGGTCTTCGATACGTTTGGTGTGAGCAGGAATTTTTAGCGTTAACAGATGTTCTCGTTTGCGGGTGGCATTTTTGGGCTTTCGTCGGCTTTTGGTCGTCGGGGAGGAATTTTCGATAATTTACCGATTGTTTTTTATGAAAAGTAATCCAACGTTTCCTTAATTGGCGGATTCGTCCCCTTCGTTCGCGACAAGGATATTTTAGATGAGTTTTTGGGAAGTTTCCGAATGGAAACCATTTTAATTTGATTTTCTTGCAATCGATATTTTTTTTTTTTTGAACTTATTGTCGTTTAAACATGATTCCGTTCTCTGATTATTATTTTACCATAGATTTTGGAAACCTCGCATTTCATTTTAACTTAATAATCTCACCGTATTTTAGCGCATTTATGGTACTAATTTCTCAACGTTTAGCTGTACTTAAAGACTGCGACTATTCATTTTTGCGCTCGGCGTTTTTATTTCATTAATTAAAGAAAGTAAATTTATTTATCTCTTTCTTTACCTGTTTAATTTCACAAGTTAGCGTAGGTTTAAGTGCATGTTCTTAATTCGTAATTCTAGTTGTCTTCTTTATTCTCAGTGGAAGATTTCTTTGAGTTCCACTGAACTATTAGTTTTTAATTGTTGTAGTTATTTTAATAGTACTTGGGTCTACACCTAAATAAATAATTTGGTTAGTGTCCAAATGCTCGACCACAGTCAAAAACAATTTGGGTACGACATAAAATTTTCACTGTGTCACTTTAACGATAGTAAAACATCCAAGAGTGTCTTTAATATCAATTGGTGCGTTCACCATACGATCTGCTTTAATTTTTGTCGAGAAATTAGAAACGCAGTCCCCCAAGGTTTCGAACACCATTTTAATTTTCCCGGAAATTCATCCAGTTAATTTTGAAATTTTAGTAGAAGAACGTGTAGCGAAAAACGTATATGCATGATTAATTCTATAATTGACAATTGACAGTGGTTTGACATTTTTGACAAGCAGAATTGTTTACTCTAATCATCGCCAACTCCATTGATATAAAGCCGTTTCAATTTGTCCCTTTTCATTGTTAAAATTGTTCCGATGACAGTACTCGCAGTGGTGACCTCCATAGAGCACAATTTTTACTAATAATGAATTTGGAGGTTAATTAGTGAAATATAAAACTGTCACACAAATATCAACCAAATGAAATGCTAACACAAGAAACGGTAGTTTATTAAAAAATAAAAATTTTAAAAGGTAAGCAATATTGAATGGGAAATAGATCTAATTTTATTATAGCTTTAAAACTTTTCTTCGATGTTTGCTAAAAGAAAACTGTCGGATTTTTAATTTTGCCGTGTTATTGTCTTCATAAGAAGTTTGTGTGTAGAAAAATAAAGACGAGAAGTAGTGGTAAGCTGGTTGAACCTCAGGAAAGCTGGGGTGTAATTTATGACACCCCTAATCTCTGGTAACAATTCGGCACCCGCTTGTCGTGTATTATTGTTCGATTTTCGTTCGTCAACAGTTCAATTTTCATAAACGAATTTATAAAAATGACCACAAGAAATTAATAAGAAATAAAAATCTGAATGTGTACAAAAGTGAACTTCGAAAAATTAAGACAACAAATAGTAAGTCCAAGCAATTATAATCTAATTGGGAAACTGATTGAGTTACAACAAAAAAAGCACTCAGCCGAAAAATTATAAATGCAGTTATTTTTCGGACCCAAAATAATCACTTTCGCAACACTTACAAAGATTTGTGGCAAGTAAAACAAAATTAATTTTAAGTGTCCAAATGGTTCTACTGAGTGTGTCCCTATACTGAAATGCAACGAGAAAATCACCAATTTCTGCATCAGTACGTATCTATATGTCATGATGTAATGGAAATAATAAAATAAACTAGAGACCAATAATTTGTTTCGTTTTTATTTATGCGTATTTATAAATGTACCCAATTGTTTTACTTAAAACTAAGTACTTCAATTACTTATTTGGTTTACATATTTCAATTATACCTGTTTCCCTATCTGGTTAGTATCGGCTAAGTTCAAACTAAAGAGGTATAGAAACTAACTGAATGGTTATCCGGCTAATTATAAGGTTTATATATATAAATAAAATTCTTTCAGGTAATACACTTTGATCTTTGACAAAAAGCCGAGAAGCAATAGAATTGGTGATCATATTAAGTAACAATAATAAAATTTCTATTAGTAACATTGACTTACACTTTATGTAAGTGTATAAAAACAGCGGCGGGTCTAAAAAACAATAATATTTATATGTGCACAAATTAGGCAGTAAAAGCATAATAATAGTAAAATTAATGAAATGATAATTAAACTGAATTTTTTGTCTGTAGTTTTAGTACGTTTTTGACATAATAATTCTGATAAAAGTTTTTTCCACTTTTTCGTGGCTTTGAAAGAAAAGATGTCGGAAGTAATAAATTATCCCATCGGTCCAAGAACGTTCGGTAGGTGTTATACACCGATCCGAGAGAGACAGCAAATGGAAGGGATAAAATAAAGCTTCAAACATGATCACTTTTAAACCAAAATTATGAAGTATTATAAATCGAGAATTTTTTTTCTTTTTTGAAATATCATAGTAAACACTTCAAAGAATGTCCATGACTTACTTTAATGTAAATTTTATACCTATGGTCGGCACAGTCAGACCTAATATGAGTGTGATTTTGAGCATATTTGCGATTTTATTAGAGCAAAACAAGTCATCTTTTCTCCAATTTTATAAGTTCCGGACACTAATAGCATATCAAAGATATTGTAAAAAAAAAATTGGGTTCAGATTCCAACTAGTTGTCTAGTATTTGTGAAACAAAATCTACTGTAAATTCACTGAAAACTAAACCGATAACATCACCTTAACGGTTTGTTACGAACAGAAGTCTTTTTTAGCAAATCCGTCTGCTCTTGGCAAATATTATCGAGGACAGGTTTAATTGCCATTTGAATGAACATGCAACACACATTGTCATGATCAGAGCAAGGAAAAATTGGATTTCTCTTCACGTAAGGGTAAATAGCGTGCAAAATTGTTTGCAGGCGTTCTCACATTTTAAGAAGGGTAACATTTCTTGAGCTATGTCCGCAAGTCTTTTAACAAGTCCCACGAAAACTTCATTTGGATATACCAGACCTCATCGATCTTGAAGTAGAATTAATTTGAGAAGAGGTCCGGGAATTGTGTTGGAAAGTAGTGGTTGAAGGCATACATCACAGTGAGTTCTATCATCTATTTTTTTGAGTATATACCCCGCCAAGAAAGCCACTGAAGCAGAGTAAATACTACTTTCCGGTATAATGTTTGAGCATAATGCATGAATTTTGACCTGTAGTTCAAAAGGTAATATTAATAAATTTTCTGTCTTTTCAATATCTCTTGACCTGGAAAGTTCGGCAGAACTAACAAAGCTAATTGCCTGGTGTATATTGGCAGAGTCAGCACATTTAACAAGCCCACATCGCAAGATCTGACGCAAAGCATATTCTGCGGTTCTCGCATCTGTTGCATCATTTGAACCACCTCTGAGACGTACATGAGAAAACATTGCTTCCACTGCATCTGAGCGAATGATCTGGTTAATACATAGTAAAATCCCACTTGTTCAAGTAGAAATTTGACACAGAGGTAAGTGCTTCTTGCTGTGAACTTAAGCGCATGAGCAGTCTCTTTAGATAATCCGTGCAGGCCAGCCTTTAAAGAACTGTTTTGTACGTCATCAATGAAATTTTGAAACGTTACATTTAACCAGTGAAGTCGCTCGTCTGAAATATGTACATATGGTGCTACTGTACTATCCAATGAATGTATGTAGTGGGACGTACTTGAAACATTATGGAATTGAAAAAAATGGTACATATGTTTCATGTACGAAATGGTACTCTCAACATTCATGAATCGTTCGTCCCCAGTGTCCTTTAAAAATTTCAAAGATGAGGTAACTGCTGGAGAAAATATCTGTATAGCTCTCAGTACGTTCATCTTCTCGAAACTGAAAAAAAAGGATGGGGAATTAAATTTTGAAGAGAACCATGGCATATTTTTTTTTAAAGGGCGGTATTTGACGACATGTTGTCAGTTACAAGCCTCAAAACGATGAATCCACAGTTCGTCAAAGTTCTTAAAACGTCCATTGTTAAGGTATAAAAATCACTCGTTGTTAGCGAAGCATGGAAGTAGTACCCTGCTGGTATTGTGAATTTTGTTGACAACCCATGTATAACGAAACATAGCATTTTATTGGCTAACATCATCTAGTCCATAGATATGATCCTCTGATCTGCTATATATCATTTTCTCCTTGATTGACATGTCGTCAACAATGAGTGAACAGATTCGCTCAATGGGTGTTTTAAAGTATGGCAATTTCAGCACACAGACGTTGTTGAATAAGGGCGTTTTGTCCTTGATATTCACCGAGATACCGCGACAAGGTACTTTTGCTCGGAAGTTTAACCAGATTATTATGGCAGAATCGATACCCTTTTGGTGAACAGAACCTCCAAACAGTACACAATCGAATGGACATTTCAGACCACCTTGGAGTCTTTTTCGAAAAATTTTTGATAATGTCGGTCAAAAAAATAGCTCTGTCGTCTCCACTTTCGGCTTTGTTAAATATTTTGTTAACCATTTGCACTTTGTTTTTATTTTTATTTTTTTCTTGTTCAAGGTCCTGAAGTTTAGAAACGCATTTCAAATATTTTTGTTGTGTCCGTTTCAATTTTTGGGTGAGGACTTTGCAGTGGTACCGAAGATTCTCAATTTCATCTGCTGAAACTAAATCAACTTGAACTAATTTTGAATTAATTTCGTACTTTTGGGAATGGTCAGGAAGCGGACCAATTTCTTGGGTACCAAAAACATTCTTAAAGACAACTATTATTATTGATAAAAGTAAGAAGACTGGACTTACAGATATAAGGGGCACAGCATTTTTATTTAAACGACATATTTGATTATTACTTGTAAAATAAAATGAATTTTGACTAAAATGGCTTTTACATATTACAGAGTAATCTCTAACTTTTGTAATGTCTGGAATAAATATTTTTATACATCTTATTTTAATGAATTTAGCTTTGTTCAAATTACCACAAAATCTTCCAATTGCTTCAAACCATTTGGATCTTAAAGTAGTGTCACTGGGAAACTGGAACAGCGAATATGCCTTATCACCGCAGATGAAACACTTTTTCCCCATATTACTCAAATTGTGAACAAATTTTTTAAATTTCCCGCCGAAAATAGTTACTTTAACAATGCTAGAGGGCGATAATAGGAGTACCACCACGGCCAGCTTGTGAGAAACACTTCAAATCGAAACTGAGACGGCTTTATATACGCGTTAGCGGATATAAATGGAGTTGGCGATGCTCTAATAGACTTCCGATTTTCCGTTTGTTTCTCGTTGTTCAGTTTATTTTTACATGTTTTCTGTTTTCCGAATTAAAAAAATGTGTTGTTTTCACAACTAACCAACGTTCAGTTCTTGGTGCCATGGCTTACAATTTAATTCACAGTTATTATCGGAATGGAGTCAAAGTTGATGGTGAGAGAAATTTCAAATTGAATTCCCGAATATTGCTATTGACTACATGCAATATAAAAAACCTTTGAGCGAACGATGAAACTCTTCGCAGAAACTGGTAGCCGTTTGCGATAAGTAGGGAGTGGGGTGCCCAAAAAAACGATCAACTAAGGTTATTGTTCATGTTGCAGAAATAGATTTTAGGTTAGAGATTAATTACTCCAACTAAAAGAACAATACAGAAAGAAAAACATGTTATATAAGTCACAACAACGCTATTATTAACCTAAGTACAACAAAGTTACTAAAATGAAATAACACATGTGGAAGTAACAACATTTGTGCCAAACTGTATAAAATAAGAGTCCTATTTATACTTTTTCCGCATTTAACCAAACTTCTCCTTCTGCTGCTAGCACAACAGAGGTGACTTTCATTTTTAGTGGTTCTAATGTTTTCTTGTTGACTGTAAATTTGTAATTTTTCAAGAGAGTAGTTAGCCCCACTTTTGACTGCATTAGACCAAAACGTGCACCTGAAACAACACAATTTCAGTTCTAAGTTACCTAGCGCATGTTTGTCCATTTGTTCATACCTATACAAATCCTGGGTCCCTCGCCAAACGGAATGTGCGAATAATGGTGCCTTTTACTCTTATTCTCCTCGGTAAATCGATCGGGATCGAATTTCTCAGGATCCGGGAAGAATTCCTTATCGTGATGAATACCCAAAACTGGAATGAAAATCATAGTACCTTTCTCTATCACTACATCTGCGTCTGGAACTTTATAATCTTTGACGCACTTTCTGGTCAGGAAAGGCACCGGGGGGTATTTCCTTAAGGCTTCGTTTATCACTTGATCCATATATTTCATGTCTTGGATAGCTTCATAAGTAATCTCCCCATTGTGTTTAGCCAAAACACTATTAATCTCGTCTCTGAGTTTATCTTGGACATCTTGGTGTTTCGCAAGCTCGTAAAGAGCGAAAGTCATGGTCGTGGACGAGGTTTCAAATCCCGCGATAAAGAAAACGAAACTTTGAGCAGCTATTTCATCAAGAGTTAATGTTTTGCCGTCATGTTTGTTACCACCTTCGCTATCAAGTTTGTTACTTTTGATATCAATCAGTAGTTGCATGAAGTCTTTGCGGGTGTAATTATTTTTCTCTCTGTAGTTAACAGTATCTTTGACAAGCTTAATGAAGAACTTAGAAATGTCCGTAGGAATCAATGCCATACCTAACCTTTTAGCAGCGTTAGGAAAATTTATAAGGAAGAGACTTCTCATCATTCTGAGTTTGTTACTCTGAAAAAATTGCCTGCCGTATTTCCTAAACGGGGAATTTTCTTCTTTGAATGTGTTAAATTCTAGACCAAAGGCACAAGACCCAATTATGTCAGTGGTGAAGCATCCAAGTGTCTCCTTAATATCAATCGGTGCATTGGCCACACGATCTGATTCAATTTTTGCCAAGAAATTAGGAACACAGTCCACCAGGGTTTGGAACATCATCTTCATTTTCCCGGAAGTGAAAGTTGGAGTGACTTTAGTTCTCAAATTTCGCCACTTTTCGCCACCTATAGCAAACAAATGGGCACTTAGAGGATCAGCGTCTTCGTTATAGTACAGCCCACGGTCTACGAAATAGTGAAAGTCCTTTGTCATAATATTCTTCAGGTAGTCCAAATCTACAACCATGTACGTAGGATTTAAAACTGAGAAAAGTCCTCCATGTTTCCATCCCTTGGACTTCATTTCTTCATAGAAATGTGCTAGTTCTATAGCACTATTTTCCTTGCGTCGAAGTGGACTGCTGGTGTTGCCATATGGAATCTTTGGTTTAAGGTAGGGGAATTTTTTTCGTTCCCAGTACTGATATGTCCATTTAAAGTAGGCTATGAGGGCCGTAACTGCCACGACAAGAATGGCGACGGCATAACCAAAGAAGGAACCGCAAAGCATTTCTGCAAACAATAAAATAAGGGATAGCATAAGCAAGCTAATTGTTACTAAGTTTAAACATACCTGACGAATAATTCTCGCTATTTAGACACGCTGTTCACGTAAACACAAATTAAATATTAGTGTGTGCACATACATATATATCGTTTTAAGTTGCTAGATCATCGTACTCGTTATATCACCTGATCGCACAGATAAGCTATTACTCACTTAGTCTTTTTTCTTTTATTTTGAAAAAAACATCAAACTAATACACTAAAATAGGAAAAAGTACTACAGAAAATGTAACAATAGTAGTCTGAGAAAACAAAGCCAATTGTATGCGTTATTAGGATATTAAAGCGACATATTTATATTCGTTATTTAAGCAAATAAGGAACATGAGTCGAGAATATCGGAACAAATACTGATAGTGACGTAATGATTAAAGAAATCGTTTCTCTAAAATAATCGGATCTATTTTGCACTATTTTAATATTCCCGGAAACAACAATACGTTGCGGATCCGTTAGTCAGAAATGCATGACAAGGCAAATACGAATACTTATATTAACGTCATAATTACACGAGTTGATGTACGCAGTTCTGGAGATTAATTTCTACTTTATCAATGCGGAAATTGTCCTTTTCTTTTAAATATCGACACCGCCAGTCCTTAATTTTGTTGACTTTTTGAAAATCTTTCGCTTATAAATAAAACACTGCATGACCAAAACAATTCCTTCTAAAAAATTTCGAGAGTACCTGGACAACACTGAATGTCTGTTATTTTCGTAAATTCAAAGACAATATTCTGGGTTGACTGGTTATAATCACCCGTTTTTTTTTTTACCCTCGTGCATAAAGCTAAATAATATAACGTAGTTATTAGTCTTTTTGGAACATGGGACAATTTTCTGACTTCGTTTCCAAACTTTTCTAAAGTGGACTGATACGGCATTACAAAATTTTTATATTGCAAGTTATATTTATTGATGCAACAAATGCAAAAAGTGACCTTTAAGCTGATGAAACGCTTAATTTTCTTTAGATCGTTGTACATGCACATTATGTTATTATAAAAATAATATTAGTCTATTAGCGATAAACAGAGTATTTACACACGTGAAAAATATCTATTATTAAAACTTAACTAAGATAAGAACCGTGTGATTATTTTTATTTGAGATCCAGTTTTCGCTGCCCATTGTTTTAATGATAATAATAATAGATTTATTTCATTATTTCCTACGTGTCAAACACTCGATTACAAGAGAACCAAAATGGTTTGTAGTACATATTAGGTATTGGTTATTTCATACATTACATATATACATATATATATACAATACATAAAATCAAGTCAATTAGTTTTCTAGATAATGTACCATAACATTGGAAATTGTTTTACAAGAGTCCTTATTGATGTCCCACATTCCACCAATCAAATTAAAATTACACGTAAGTACTATTGGCGATCTTATCAAAATCTTAGTTCTGCAAGCGCTTAATCTAGGTACTAAAAATATAATTTTTTCCCGCAAAAAAGGACACTCAATTATATTATTCACTAAGCCATACACTAATTTCATACTGTTACGTTGTTCGATAATTAAAATCGGCGTGGGTAAAACTCAACACTTTATTTCACAGTAATAAAACTACACGACTAACTATACAGCAATTATTTATATTCAGAATAATTCCAACTCGACTGGAATGGATTTGACTAGACCCAAATTCCCTCAACATTGAATGGACTTGACTCGTTGACTGAATGAATCGTTCCCCAAGGTGATTCTATTTAAACCTATGCGTTACCTTCTAGATGAGTAGCGATCGAGGTATTTCTGGAGTACATACTAGAACACCCAAAGACGTCGTACCGGGGGGGTGTATGGGTTTATTTCGTAACAATATTCTTGTTGAAGGTATGTACCAAATGGTAGATATATCTATATAATAGACATTACGTATAACAAAAATTTTAGAAATTTGCGTTCAACTGACTCAAGTTGCTGTACACAGATCGAATAAATAGGGTACCACATCACCGCTGCATATTCAATTTTTTATCGAACCAACGAGTGATTTAAAGTTAATAACTGTTTGAAAATTCCCAGTTCTGTCCAAAAGTTTCTCCTCTGGTATGGTAGACATACTGAGTTACCGTGCTCTTTTGCTTTATTCCTAATTTCTCAACCCTGCTCCTGAAGATGTCACTTACAAAAGTGTGCGAAACCTTGAGCCCAAAAACTCAATTAACACGGTCCCAACCCGGAAAACGATCATATAATATATAAACATTATTTGAATATTTATTTTTCTGTTTATTTTTAATTTCATATAATTTTACTGTTTTGTCTTGTTCATGCTGTTTTGAACTAATGACAATATGGATCATGTCCAGGATAATCAACTAGGGAGGGAGAAGAATTCTGGCCTGAGGTCTTCAGCAGTCAAGAAGTGCTGTGGCGATTGTGGGTATTTTTTTTAGAAGTGAGAAGTGAGTAGTAGTTCGACCGTTCGACTACCGTAAGTACCTTTTGGGTCGCCTGCCTGTTTTGTACCGGTCTTGGAATCGCCGCCCCCGGGCGAGAAACCGTGTCACCGCCACCGCGTTTTTTTTGACACCGTCTTCGCGCGATTTCCAGATCTCAAGGTCGCCGCCTCCAGAGCCAGGAGGAGCCCGTCTTGAGGGAAGTCGCCGCCCAGGAGGAACGACCGTGCCAGACATTTAATTTAATTTTGTTTGTAAAACCGTTTTGTTAGATATTTAAGCTGTTTAGCCGTAAGTTTTATTATTTTTGTTATAAAATATCCTTGCCGTTTTATTTCTTATTCTCTTGTTTTCGGGGAGGCTCACCACCTGAATTCCGTGTCTCCGGCTTTAGAGCACCCCGGCGCTCCCTCCCCCGGAGAGGGAGCTGGCGCCCGAGCGACCGCCGCTCCTGACCGAAGGCGCCACCCCCGGCGGTGTGAAGGTCGCCGTATAAGCGTGGTCGGCCAGACGTGTTACTGATATCAGCGATACTAGTCGACCCAAAACTTAGCACCCAAGTACGCCGCCACCCCATACGTTATCGGCGAGATTCCGGACCGTCCGTCCCATCCGGAATTTCGTCGCACAACAAAGCAAATCTAGTTGCACAGTGTTGCTAAAAAATTACCCATTACTGCAGTAGACTACAATACGATTTTGTATAAATAAGCAGCACAAAAATATAATTCTACCAGAGGCACCTTTGGTTATAGTTTTGTTATGATGATTCTCTATTTACATATATTTTGATAATCATTGTGAGAAGTTTAGAAAAACGATCGTGCGATTTAAGAATAAGTCGTTTTAGAAATTGTGAAATAGATAGTATATGAAAAAATTATTGTATTATAAAGGTAAACACTTTTAAGAGGTATAAAGGAGCAGTAAAACTGAATGCAACTAGAATCCGCTGATAGCAGCAAGGCATTAATGATTTTAGAAATAATCTCTTTATCTAATCAACTTCAAGGTTTTCGCATGCATTTTTAGAATTCAGCACTATTAAAGATTGAATTTTATTTTATTGGCAGGGAACAGTGATTTAGAATCACACGTGCCCTACATTCAATATGATAACTAAAACTCGGAATCGTATGCAGAAAATATAAAAAGGCATACAAGGAGTTCGAGAACTGGCGCTTGGAGAAAAGAGTACAAGATGTGAAAGAAGAGGTATTATCACCATACTTCGAACAGAAATCACGAATTTTAAAAGATTCTACTTTATGGAGTAATTTATTCAATGTTACAAGCAACACTTGATGTGAATAAGAAGATCGCAATTAGAAATTATGCAAGTTTGATAGTCTTCATCAAAAGAAAATCAGTGGGTGAAGTCGCAAAGAAATCGAGCGTATTTACAAAACTGGACATCGAAAAATTTTTGAAAGGAGCTAATAATGACACTTATTTGTTGATGAAGATACGGTTTACCTAAAATTTGATATTTCTGTAATACATTTTTTCCTTTAAGTTTACAGGTTCTGTTAATATATCACCCTGTATAGTTGTGGTTGGGGTTCAAATTAATTGTATTATTTTCATTTATTATCAATAATTAATGATTCTATTTTTAATAGCTGTACTTATACACTTACAATATTTTTGGTTTTATTTTAATAAATAATGTTAAAGTGCTAAAAATTGTACTTAAGGACAATTACAAATATCAATGTTTTCCGAGTAGAAATTAAAGGATGGTGAGGTGGTCATAAGTATAGACCTTCTGTCGTTTGAGAGGCGGGGTCAGGCCTCAATTTATATAAGACCCCTTCGATCATTAAATATTATAATAACAATAACTTGTTCGTTATCTTTGCTATAATTATAAACTTTTCACAGTTGTGATCAATGCAATAAAAATAAATTAATGTGTAAAACAAAGAAATACTTCTTTTTAATTTTTGGGTATTTATTTACAAAAAAATATATCTAAGTAAATAAATAATAATTAAACAAAATTTTATGATACAAAAACAAACACTATAGACATGGGACATTTCCAATAATAATAATCGGCAACAATTATTGACGTCCGATCCACTTGCACTCTTCCCACAACTCCCAGATATTTTTGTAGCAGCGGCGGCAAAGAGGTCCGTACTTTGGACACTCCAGGGTTGCGCGTTGAGGGACCTCGGCGTCGCAACACAGTGAGCACCACCTTTTGTCGTCGGTGAGTTTCCTAGGAGTGGGTAACTCCACGTAATTTTCCATTCTAGAACTAAACGAAAGGAATTAGATCGGAAACTAGAAAACCCAAAATTTTACTTACCGATGATGTGGTTGTGTGTTGGGTGCATCAGTGGCTGCTGCTTGAAGATGTATTTTTTTGCAACAGTCGTGGCAAATGGGTCCCCAATACAATGTTGCCCGACGAGGGACCTGGACGTGGCAGCAAACCAAACACCAGGAGTCCGTGGGTTTTGTCGGAGTGTATAACTGCGAAGAATTTTCCATCCTGAACTGTCTGAAGAAACTGTGTTCTCGACGACTATGGAACTATGAATTTTACGTACAAATTTTTCCGTTTTTATAGGGGTTGTAGACGGAGAGTAGGGGTTGGTACAAGGAAAGTAGGAGTGACAGAACAAGGGTAGGGGTTGTACAGGTGCAGAATGTTTGCAAAAGTGTTTATTGGTAACCCTCAATCGCTTAGGATTATGATAATGGTAATTTACAACCCTGAAGACCCGATTGCTTATCACAAAGAAACGAAGGTTCTAAGAATCAAATGTGCATTATGATGTTTTAGATTATTTTGTTTTTATAAATGGCATATTTAAGCTTACTTATTCACTTTCGTTGCCAAAGGGGTTCCACATTTTTGTTATTAACACTAGTTTTTATAGGGGTTGTATAGGTAAAGTAGGAGTGATAGGAAAAGAGTAGGGGTTCTACAGGTGCAGAATGTTACAATGTTACTAATAAAAATTTGGTAAATAACTTGGACATACTATTTATATCAATTTTCAAATAACTTCACTTCCTTTACTTTTTGTTCTTTTTAAATATTTATTGAAAAACGACATATATATTACATACTTACATAGATTTGTATAATCACTAGTTAATACTTATTAGTTGGTAAATTTGTGAGGGCTGGCAAGTCCCACAAAATTGTATAGGATTTGTATATTTGTATATAATGTGTATTTAATTACTCCCAGTATCACTCCGAAACTTTCTCTTCGTCCACCTGCATGTTGTAAAACCTATCTTTTGTTCACCCTTCTCAGTATTACTTATCGTTTCCCAGATTTCGAATACCTTCCAAGAACCCTTTAGACACAATGTTCCCACCGGAGAAGCAACATTTTTCTTCGCTTACCTACAAATTAAAACAATTTTAGTTTTATTTGTTATTGATCTATGCGGCTCCGAATGATATAATTTCTGAAGTTGTGAAATAAAATCACCGTAAACTAAACTAAAAAATTCAAATCAACATTATCTTATTATCTACAATTAAGACATAATATTAGCAAATTTGTAGCTGACACATTCCACAAAATTATCCCTCGAAATTTCATTCTTTTTGAATTAAACAATTTTAGATTTTATAAGCAAATGTCTACCAAATACATCTTTTGCAATATATTGTTTTTCGTTTTTATACACAGGATTTATTTCAATATAGAAATCAGTTTGAATATTTTTCAAAGCGTCCAAAAAGAAAGAAAATTAAACCAAATAGATTCCGACTAGGTATTTTTGTATTCCACGCTAAGTCCCACACTTATTATTTTACTGCACCTGTTTCTAAAGTCAAATATGATGTAATTAACTCAATAACATCAACCCAAAATACACAACTTAGTATCCCTGTGCCTTTCTACGAAAGAATTGTTGGCAAATGAACCCATTTTTTAATAATGTCAAAAAATGAATTTGTTTATATGATCCCAACTTTTGTTTGTCAGGTTGAAAACACGGTTTTTTGACCCAATGGAAATGCGAGTTACTGTGGTTTGCCGCGAAAAGCCCACGATCAGAAAATTTATTAAATTTTTTCCATTTACAAAATGTAGTTGTAAGATAAGCTGGGATGTATTTTTCGTTGTTGATTTTTCTTGAAAACGTTTCAATTTACTCATTTCTTAAGCCCAGTGAACTTTAAATTTCTAACTAAATATTTTTTTCTTATGAAATTTATTGTCGAAGAATTTATTAAGAGGATTTTATCATCGGCGGCACACCTACTTTGAGCGGTGCCCGATGCTCTAGTGCTTAGGGATTAACTGACCCTTATAATTACCAAGATTATACAGGTACTACTGGCGCAGTTGTGCCCTGCTCCCTAACCCCAGACGAAAATATACCGCAATTCGGTCAACTGTACCTGGTTACTTGATACTTAAGGCTCCACCACACCTCAAGGAAATTTCCCAACCCATTTTGCGCCTTTATTTTAACAGTTGAAGAGCAGGGCGATACATGTGCGTGCTCATGACATAAAAATCTTTAAGGAAGCGTCTTGTATTTTTTAAAAAACGTAGCAGTTTTTAAAATAAAAAATAAAGTGCGTAAAACCCCAGCGGATTTTTAGCGAAAACTATAACTCGGTGTGCTTTTAAAAAATATCGAGGTGATGGAGAATTTTTTTCTACTTTAGGCGCCATTCTTCGTTTTCTGTTAAAATTTTACTTCTTTTAGTTATTGTAAAAAAACTGCAAAGCATTTTGGGCAAATTTTAGTAAGTTAGGCAACCCAAAATATTAGCTGAGGCGGTAAGCTGTAATTTATGGCCCACACAATAGAGCACCTTTTAAATACCTTAAGCTTATTTGACCACCCTTTGAAGTACCTGACAATAGCATTAAGAAGGATATATATATATCTTTTAGTTATATGCATTGGACCCTGTTATACCTGATACATATACTTGTCCAAAAGGTATAAGGTTATATGACCATCATAAAAGTAATTGACCGCAAATAAATGCCCCTTTTGTGTGGTTCGCACTAAGCTACCGGTTGGCAATAAATCGTCTTCTAAACATTTCTTGCTCACATTTAACAGGGCCGGCTTTCAAAGCGAATGGTTATTTCGACACCCTCAGCGGCTGCAGGTAGTAAAGAAATAGTGGAGTGGTGGATTTTCATATTTAGTGAAAGCCGCCCCTGAACGAAACCACAGCAGCCGGTCGAGCTGCAGTGGACACGTTATTTACGACCCTAAAACCCTTTCTAGTAAACAGCTTAACTTCGGCACAATGGGATGATTTTATGATGGCCATATAACCTTATAGCTCTTCGTCCACTATACCTATAGTTGTGGTTCGGGTTCAAA